AGGGAGGAGGGAGGGAGGGAGAAAGGAAGGAAGGTGGGAGAGAGGAAGGGAGGAGGGAGGGAGGGAGGGAGGAGGGAGAGAGGAAGGAAACCAACCTTTGTTAGGCACTTACTGTGGCCCTGTGGCTAAGTGCTTTTTACAATTATGATCTCAGTGGATCCTCACAGCAGTCCTAGGAGGGACGCATGGTTATTTTCCCCATTTTACAGTTGAAGACACTGAGGCACAGAGCTGAAGTGGGCAGGGGCCCAGGCTCCCACCATTAGACTTGACCTCAGGTCTTGTTGACTCCAGGCTTAGGATGGGGAGGCTCCGTCCACAGTGGCCCCGGCTGCCTCCTTTTCTGGCAGCTTACAGCCTGTGGCCATTCTCTCTTCTCTATGTCTCTAATATCCCTGAATCTTCCCCACTGTTCCTCTCACCCACTCCCATCACCTCTGCCCCCAGCCCCTGGTCTCCCACAGCTCAGTCAGCCTGGGAACTCCCACGGGAAGCTGCCTGACCGTGGAACCCACCATCAGGTCCCAGGCCCCATCCTCAACCCCTTCCTGGCCACCCTCCTGAGTCTCACCCTGGAAAAACCAAATGTTGCCCTGTGGATCCTCAAAGGCAGCATCAAGGCTAGTGGGCAGGCCTTGCCAGTGGCGAGAAGCCAGGGCCGGGTAGCCGGGCTGCAGCTGCCCAGCCCTCAGCCTCCAGACAAAGCCCGACTTGAAAAAGAACAGTTCCCCTCGGATGGTGGCTGCAGCATCAAAGTCTGTGTCGCAGGCGTCTGGCTGCAAGGGGGACATTGAGGCAGGATTGCGGGGGAGGCATTAGAACTGGTGGGCAGTGGCAGGGGGGCTGGGTAGGCAGCCGGGGCCTCACCTCCAAGGAGATCTCGTTGGTGTCTATGTCACCTGGCTGGGGTGGGGGAGGTGCTTTGGGGTGGGGCCTGGTGGGCCCTGGGGCTGGAGGGGCCAGGGTCGGGTGGGGCTCTGGGCTGGGCACAAGCCGCTGTCCATAGAGGTGCTGGATGCCCTGCTGGTCATCTGGGCTCAGGCTCAGAGGGTAGCGGAAGGTGTAGAAAGGGGACATCAGAGCTTTGGCTTCATTTGAGTGCTGGAGGCCCAGCACGTGGCCGAACTCATGGGCGGCCACCTGGAGCAAGTCTGTGCCTGGGAGGGATGGGCAGAAGCGGGCACAGGAGCTTGCAATCCTGGGGCCTTGACACCCCAGCACCCAGCCTGGAGGCAGGGAGCCCCATCCAGGGGACAGCCAGTCGTCTGCCCCATCTCAGTTCCCTCAGGCCCACCCCCCACCCATCCTTCCTTATTTTCCCCCAGCCTCACCATCCATCTTGCCTCTGCTTCTCCCAGCCTCACCATCTACCCTGCTTCAATTTTCCCCAGCCCAAGGCTCTCATACCCAGGTTGTTCCCAATGGTCCAGGTCTCATCATAGTCAAAGTGCACATCCCCCTCCCGGTGGGTCTTGGGGAAGAAGGCATGAGCCAAAATGCCTCCAGGTCCATCGAAAGGCAGATTGTCTCCGTGCCAGTACCTGGGGAGAAGCCGAGGTCAGGAGGCTCTGCTCGGCTGCCCCTGGCCTGGGACATTGACAGGGGGTTCATTTCTGTAGCCTAACCAGGAACCAGGGCCCCCAGAGTGCTTCCCCCACCCCCACTGCTGGGGTCGGCGAGAAGGGTGACCTCTGGCCTCGAAGTGCAGTTCTTGGATTCTAGTGTACCTGTGTATGTGACCTTAGACAGGTCTCTAGTCCTGTGAAAGCGGAGTTCTCCCCCTGCCTCCACCCCCTCAGAGCTGTCACTGTGATCAGTTCAGTGACTTAGACTTGCTTCCTGTTCAGTGCCAGGGCCACCCCACAGAACCCCAGGGAGCTCCAGTGACCCACCTGAGGTTCTCCTGGGCACATTCAACACCCGACAGCCACTGGAAGCCAGGTGTCCTGGTCCTGATTTCCAGGACAGGCCTCTGGGATCCTCAGCACAGGCAGGACATGGAGCCAGCCTAAGGCTAGGGGTAGTGCCAGGGGTGGTGTCAGGGCCCCTGCCCCTATACTGGGCGCTTACCTAGTGAAGTCAATCATGATATCTGCCCTGCCTTCTTGCACCTCCGTGAAGGTAAGTGGGGTCACATTGCTCCATACACGTAAGGCCTCTGCCATCATCTGCTGTACTTGCTCCTTGACCAGCTGCCAGGGGAACCGCATGATTCTGGACAATGTTGGAAGACATATTGGGGCTGGGCCATGAGTCAGAACCCCCAACTCCAATCATGGCCAGGAAGGAAGGAGGGAGGGAGGAGGGAAGGGAGGGAAGAGGGAGGAAGGGAGGAGGGAAGAAGGAGGAAGGGAGGGAGGAAGGAGGAGGGAAGGGAGGGAGGAAGGAGGAGGGAAGGGAGGGAGGAAGGAGGGAGGAGGAGGGAAGGGAGGGAGGAAGGGAAGAAGGAAGGAAGGAGAGAAATGAGCATTTATTAAGTGCCAACTACATGCCAGCCTCTATGCTAAGAGCTGTTACAAATGTCTCATTTGGACATCACAACAACCCTTTGAGGTAGAGGCTATTATGAGTCCCATTTTACAGTTGAGGAAACTGATACAAATGGAGATTAAGTGACTCGCCCAGGGTCACTGAACTAATAAGTGTCTGAGACTGAATTTGAACTCAGGGCTTTCTGACTCCAGGCCTAGTGCTCTGTGCCCTGTGGCACCTCCAAGTGCCTATGGAAGGCCTCCAGCCTTGTCTAAATGTCTGTGCAGAAAGGCTGTGTGTGGAGGGAGACAGCATGAGAATGAATGAAGGCTAGGCCTCCCTCCTGCCCTCTCTTCCTTATCCCCCTCTCCTGGAAGGTTACCCTGGCCTCCTCCCATGCCCTCCCCAGCTTCATCTAAAGGAGTGTAGAGAAAAGGCACTTCTGCCAGAGGGTCCAAGTGTATACAGACACCATCCGTATACTGGGGCCTCTGGAGACATTGCCCCCCTACCTGTAGGTAAGGTTGACCTTCTCCCAGCGCCCACCAGACAGCACGAAGCGTTTTTGCCGGTTCTGGAGGCGCAATCCGCGAGGCAGGTTGGGCACACCACAGCGGGGGCGGCCCTGAGCTGTGGCCCACTGAGGGGCAGCCTGCATGGGAAGGATTGGCTTGGAGGCTGCAGCCTTGGGGACATCCTCAAGCCAGGGTCCATCCTCCTTGAGTGCTGAGTCCTGCATAGACAGCAGAGAAGCCTCAGAACCCCCCTCCTCCCAGCTGAGTGCTCCCTGCCCTCCCAGCTGCACTGGGCTGGATCTCAATCCCAGCTCTGACTAGCAGCAAAATCACCCGCTGTTCACTCACCAACTCTCTGAACCTCTCTCCTAATCTGTTCAGCCCAATAAACCTTAATCACTCCCTGCTGTGGACAGGGCTCAGCACTCAGTACCTGACCACAGAGATGCAAGTTAGCCAGGACCTGCCCTCAAGGAGCTTCCATTCCACCAGAGGTCAGGACAGGACCCAGACATGGGGGTTCTCACACCTGCCTCAGTCGCTGTCCCACAGACTAGATATGGCTGCCTCATCATTAAAAGGCTATCGTGGTATTTTGAGGGATTGACTGGTTAACTGTCCTCCTGGAGATCCCCCTGCCTGTCAGAGGGAAAGAAAGATTGAACAAGTAATAGAGAGAAAGAGGAGGCAGGAAACTTTCCTGAGAGCTCATCTTGTGAACAGATTCTAAGAGAATACTTGAGTCTTCCCAAGAAGGCTGAGAGATGGAACTATGTTACACAAGGCAAAGATGAGCTGCTCAGGATTGGGTTCAGGACCTTACTCACAGCTGAAACATTGTAAACCATCATGCACCTCTGTCTTTGACTACTTGCTACAATGTTAATAAATTGTAGCATCAGTAACTTCGATGGTTAATTTAAGCCTAGGAGAGGAGATAGACATGTAGAGATAAGTAATTACATTCTTTAAGGAAAAGAAGTTTCTCTAGTTTTAAAAATAAATAATCTTTAATAAACTGGGGATGTAGGCCCAGAGCTAATTGTTTAATGAGAAGATGTTGTTTTAGTAACCAATAAGAACACACCTGCAGATTACCTTGGGACTCAAGGTGATAGGAGGGGATGTAGTTTGCCCTAAAACCCTGCCACACAGAAGTGAGGACCCAAGAGCAAACAGTGAGAGCTCTTCCCAAAAGAAATGGACTGCCTTCCCTAAGAGGTGGGCTCCTGTCACTGAAGCTGGGTAGCCACGTCTCAGCAAGGTTGTTGAGGGGATCCCCATGAAGGGAGGAGTTGGGACAGACGCTTTCGAGTTCCCTATCAATTCTGAGGATCAGAAACTCTATGTGTAAATTCATATGCCCTAAGGAAACACCATAATTGGGATGGGGAAATCCCAAAAGACTTCTTGGAGGAGGCTCCAAAGACCGTGGACCCAAACACAGATAGGTTAGGAGAGTGGAGATAGGTAGAGGCATTCTAGGTGAAGGCCAACCTGTGGGAGCTGGAGAGTGGGGAGTAGAAATGGGGATGCTATGGCCAGAAGGAAGGAGAACCTTGTACCTGTTACATCCCTTTGTCAAAGTGAAAGCACCATGTAACCACCAATGGGAGCTACTGAAATCATTCATGAGTGCTCTCTTTATTGCCATGGCTGGAGGGCACCCCAGGAGTACTCAAGTATAACTCTCTTTTTATAGGAGGGGAAACTGAGTCCCAGAAGGAGATGGGATCTGCCCAGAGGCACACAGTGGTGAAGCTGGGTCCTCTGCCCTAGGGTCTGCCTGCCTGCCCAGCCAGAAGTCACCCCCAGGCCCTGGCTCTCACTTTCCATTGCCCAGCTACACCACTCAGGCTACCATCACACTACTGCAGAAGCCCCTCGGGGGCTTCCAGCCTGGGCTGCCAAACCATCATCTGTTGGTCAGTTGCCCATCTACCTGGAGGCCTCTTTATGCCCTACACTGAGTGCCAGGGGAGCTGAATGTTAGATGGCCACATGACCCAGAGCAGGATACAATCCTCCTCCAGCCCTGGCCCATGGCATGGTCTCCCCTGGCTTGGGGTTTTCTGCTGTAACTGATGGGACCACTCTATGGTTCAGCCTTCCTGCCTGAGGAGAGGATCCCAGGTCCCTTGGTCAGACAGGCAGCTTGACTGTGATGGGGAAGCATACCCAGGCAGGAGCCAGGATGCTCACAGAACACATTCCTTCTCCTTTGGAGATCTCCAGGGCCTCCCGCAATGCCACCCCCCAACTTAGCCAGAGAGTTTCTTGGCTATCTCCTAACAGTGCATGTCTTTGGGGGTGGGGGCAGAGGCATGATAGTGAGCTGACCCTCCTTCCACCTCCCTGGTCCTTGGCTGGCCACACCAGACTGAAACGGGAAGAATAAATATTTGCACGCCCCTCTTACAGAATAGCAGCCTGGGATAAAGAGCCCCAAAGTGAGCCCCGGCAGACCCAAACACATTGGACTGAACAGAGGAGCCAATGGTGTTGATGAAATGGAGCCCAGTTCTGGTCCTGACTTGGCCACTACCTTGCTGGGCAACCTGCAGTAAGTGTCCTTCCCTCTCTGGGCCCCACTCGCCATATTTCTAAGATGAAGAGGCTGAATCAGATGACCCATTTCTAAGTATTGACTAGCTGGAAATTCTTGGGTCTTCTGTCTAACATCCAGTGACCAAGCAGCTGAGCACAGCTGGCCAGTGGCCCTCTCTCCAGGCTCCTGCAGGGTCCTCCTGCCAGACCCATGCTGAGCCCAAGGGCCCCCCTTTGTCTCCTCCACTCCAAGCCCCAGGCCCTCTGCCCTGCCTCTCTCTCCAAGCCCCTGTGAGGCTCTGGGGACAGTCTTGCAGAGGGGGCTGCTGGAGCAGGGCCAGGCCAGCCTCGCCAGGGGACCCCAGCTGGCCACCAGGACACATGGGCAGGCTTCCTTCTCTAGGGCCTTCTCTCTCGGGGGGTTAGAGCAGAGACACCTGCTATGACCAGCCCCATGACCCTGGCTGGCTCCTAGCCCACAGGCTGCCTCAGTCAGCCATTGATGCTATGGAGGCCCAGGAGGGAGAGGAGGAGGGAGAAGAGGCAGCAGCCCCAGGGCCGGCCTTTGGGGCAGGATGGTAGAGGTAGCCCCAAGTCTCCCCTCCTGCTCCTACCCTTCCTGCTCCCCAAGAGCCTCCAAGTAGGGGGGAGGAGCGCTGAGGGACAAGGGCACCAAGGCAGAGAGGGAAGTGAAAGGCTGCGGGAGGGGGAGGACTGAAAAGGGGCAGGGGGAGGAGGGGGAGAGGGAAAAGGAGGAGGAGGGGGAAGGGGAGGAGCAGGGGGTTGGGCTAGACCTAGGCAGGGAGGACACCCACAAGGGCATAGTGCAGTAAGCCGGGGCGCAGCGCCTGGGGGCCCCGCGGGGGGCCGGGCCAAGGCTGGGGGATCTGGGTGCCCACCCCCAAACTGATGCGCCGCAGGAAGGAGCCCTTCCATCTCACCCCTAGCCTCTGTCCCTCCCGGGGATCTGGTGGCACGGCCGAGTGGGGGCTGCGGGGGCGGAATGGGGCCGGCCTGAGACTCACGGGCTGTAGCGGGGCCGGCCGAGCCAGAACCCGGTTCAGGGACGCGAGCAGCAGCACGAGCAGCAGCAGGAGAGCTCCGGGGAGCCAGGGCAGGCGGCGGCTGTGGGCCGGGGCTGGGGCCATCCCGGGGCGGGCGCCAGGGGCCTGCGGGGCGGGCCCGGAGCCGGGGTGACTGCGGTCCTTTATAGGCTCAGCCTGTCCCGCCCCTCCGCCCTCCCCCCCCCCCAGCCCGCCGAGGTCTGGAGGCTCCCCCTCCCCCTCCCTTCCCTCCCTGCTGGGGCCTAGAGGCCCCCCTCTCCCCTGGCTCTGCCCCCCTCCCCGCCTCCCCGGTCCGGGCCTGGCCCTGCCCCCCTCCAGCAGCACCCAGCCTGCCTTTTGTTCGCTCTCTCTCTCTTCCTACCCCCCTCTGGGCAAGGAGGGGGAAGCCATTAGGGCGGTCTGCCTCTGCCTTCCCCCCCCCATCTGAAGGGCACCCTGCTGCAGCCCTAATCATTAACAGACATCCCCCCCCCAACGACTGGTGGTGCCCAGGAGGATGCGGCAGAGGAGGCCGATGGCCCAGAACCCTAGTGGGGAGAGCCAGGCTAGGGGCATAGAGCCAAGGAGGTCGAGAGTACTAGGGGCTAGGGGCTCTGGGACCGGGCAATAGACAGCCAGGGAGTAATGGCTGATCCTTGCCCCCCACCCCGGGGAGCTAGACTGGGGGGTGGGGTCACTTTCTGGATAACCTCCAAACAGGAAACATCGTTATGGCCACAGAAGGCCCCTTGTCAGAGGATGCTAGACGTTTGTGGTCAGTCCAGAGCAGACCTGACCTGGAAAGAGCCAACCCCAGAGGACACCCCCCACCCCAGATACTCACACACAGAAGGAGCTGGGCCTGAAACTAGACCAGAGGGAGCCCCCCAGTGCATGGTCTTTGGGAAACCCAGTGGGGCTGGCTGAGATCCCAAGCCGCCCCCAGTGGGCCTGCCTGCCTCCTTCTGAGTCACAGCTCCCAGACTCTCCTGGTCTGCTCTGGCCTCTGAGCTCTGTTCTTTGGAGTCTGGCCACCTTGTCCAGTCTCCTCAAGCCTCAGCCCCTTCCTGCTGCTTCTACTCCTCAGCTCTGACTCCACTGGCATCCTCTGGCCTCTTCTCTCCTCCATGGGCCTCAGTTCTACTCACCGCCCTTTTCTGGCCTGTTTCCTAGGGTCCCCTCTGGCTTCTGGTCTCTTCTGATGTCCTCTGCCTCTGACCTCTGATTGCCCCCTTTCCCCTTTGGTCTCCTCTTCCAGCCTCTGGCCTCTTTCTCTGGCCTCCTCACCTCTCACTTCTGGCCTCTTCCTCTGGCCTCCTTCTCTGGCCTCCTCTTTCCGTCTCTGGACTCCTCACTTCTCACCTCTGGCCTCTTCTGTTTACCTCTCATCTCTAGCCTCCTCCTCTCGCTACTGTGTGGCAGACTTCCAGAGATCTCCCAACATAACTGAGTGATCTCACATGGCTGACTAAGGTAAGAAGAAGCATCTTACTCTAGTTTCTGTAGCTCTCAAAGGTGTACCCATTGTCTCTTCCATGTGGGCGCAGACTCTCCCCTGCTATAGTTGGTGACCCCTCCCCCTCCCTGGGATTCCAGGTCAAGTTCTCCTCCAGAGCCTCTGGACTCTCCCCAGGGTTCTGGGTCCTCCCTCTGGGGTCAGTTCCATTCCATAGAGACTGGTGGACAGGCTGGTTGTCTGCACCTATCTTGCCACCCACCAGCCTGTCTCACTGGGACGTGCTGAAGTCCAGGCGAAGCATGCTGGCTCTGCCAGCAGAGTGTGGGGCTTTGGGCCAAGTTCTTCACCCACCAAAGGAGAGTGGTCGCCCACATGACCTCATTGCCAGGCCCTCCCAGCCCTGAGCCTTCTGTTCCTCGGTGATGTCCCTTCTGGGGGGCAGACTGCTCTCGCCAGCTCTCCCGTCATCCTGTGGGTCACCTGCAGACTGTGGCGCTCAAAGAGTCCCGGCTGCACGGCTGTAGGAGCCATTTCCAGCAGAGATGCACTCTCCAAAAGGCCGGAATGTGGAGAAATGCACGAGCAAGGCTGAGGCTTCGCTTCCTGCTCTGCAGACTGGCAAAGATGGCGGCTGGAGGCCTAACATGGCCCAGGAGGCCAGGTCACGGCCCCCACTCCCTTTCTGCTCTGGGCCCATGCAGGTGGCTCAGGCTCTAGTGCATTAATCCACCCCATCCTCTGGGGACAAGTGCTTTGAAGCTTAGATTGTGACTCATGTCCAGATCTTTCCAAAGAGGAAATTACAGGGTTCTTGATAGTAACAGCATGCATTTATAAAGTGTTTTAAGGTCTGCAGAGCACTTTACAAACACGATTTCATTTGATCCCCACAACAACCCTGGGAGGTAGGTACTATTATTATCATCACCTGACAGATAAGGAAACTGAGGCAAACAAGGTCATGTGACTTGCTCAGGGTCCCAAAGCTAGTAAGTATCTGAGGTCAAATTTGAACTCAGATCTTCCTGACTCCAGGCTCCATGCTCTGTGGACTGTGGTACCACCCGGATGTGAATATGAATGGGACAGGTATTTATTTCCTATACAGAAGAAAAATGCTAAAAATAGGGCACTCCCAGAATACATTGGGGCAGCAAGGTGGTACAGTGGATAGAGCACTGGGCCTGGGGTCGGGAAGACTTGAGTTCAGATCCAGTCTCAGACACTTGCTAGCTGTCTGACCCTGGGCAAGTCACTTAACTCTGTTTGCCTCAGTTTCCTCACCTATAAAATGAGCTGGAGAAGGAAATGGCAAACCAGTTCAGTATCTTTGCCAAGAAAACCCCAAAAGGGGTCTCAAAGAGTCAGACATGACTGAAAATGACTAAACAAAAAAGAATGCATTGATGGAAATGCTTGAAAACAGGATTCAGTAGCTTAACTTACTCTTCCAATCTGCTGGGAGACTGATATAAAACCCAGGCAGAACATGAAGCAGTTTGCTGCCTTTACACTTCACCTCAGCTCTACACTGTCCCCTCAAAGTCCCTGTGTTTTGGCAAACCAGGCCAGGAGCTCGGGTTCTCCCTCTGCAGGTGGTCGCTTCTCTGATGCAGAACCTTCCCTTCCTGCCAGGCAGCTCCATTCATCGACCCAACAATCTCTGGACCTTGTCAAGAATGGGCTGGCCATGGTTTCTTCTTTTT